ACATAAAATATTAAAATAATGAGCAGGAGATAAATTATCAGCTCTTCTTAAATCCGCATTAATTTTAATAGAAAAAGCTCAGATGAGTGCATTAAGTAAATGTTACTCAGATTATTATTTTCGTTGATGATTTATATTTTTTCAATGTAATCATATTCCTATATTATGTTTTCTTTTATACATTCATCAACACATTGATCATCCACTTATTATCATTAAAGTGATTGTTCCTTGCAATAGTGGCATTTTAAACATAAGGAAGGATTGTACACAGGAGCACCTCTTCATGGTCTTTGTTTACTTCCTTAAAAAGGAGATATTTTATATACTTCTTTTCAGTCGCCTCCTGATGGGTATGTCAACCGTGGACATGTTGGTAAATCAGTTATTGTGTCCGTGTAATAAGAAATCGGGAGTAAAACGTTTTTTATGTTTTGGTCGATACTTGGTTTTCGTAAGTCGGTATATAAAGATTTGTTGTCTACACATCAGGGAGCTGATCTAATTAGTCTAAAAATTTTGGACAGATAAAATTGTAATTCTTATAAGAGCACCTTTTCTCTGGTGTACTATATATCTATGAAGCGTATGTTCTTTTTTGGGATTTTCAATTGAGATTTGGAAAAAAACGGGAAAATAAAGATAAATATATTTTTTTTTTTAAATTTCTTTATTGAGTATTATAACAATCTGTCTCTTGGACATTGGTTATAGTGAGGTAGGATGACACTATATGTACAAAAAAATAAAATAAATAGAACAAAATATTAATAAAAAATATATACAATAGATAATAAAATAAAATAACCTAAAAAATAAGAAAATTAAAACTAAGAAAATAAAACACATGCATACCTAGAAAGATAAATATAAAGATAAAAATAAGAGATAAGTAGTTCAGTCGCTTGTTTAAAGTCTTTTCTTTCATTTTTCAGATGTATGCCACAGGTCATCCTTCTGTCGAATATTAATGCATGTATGTATTCGAAAACATACTTCAAATGTGTTCGTCTGAGGAATTGGTTTTTCGCCTATGTAAACTAGCGTGGCTCTTATTTAAATTAGAAACAGTAAAAAAAAGTGTGTTTAAAATTCTTCTTTATTTTTTTTCAAAATTCGTACCTGTCAGGATTATGAACAACCAGTGAATTTGCTAGTTTGAAACTAAATATTATGTCAAGGATAGGTGTACGGGAGAATAGTACCTATTAATAACTCTTCCTATTTTGAGATTACTATTTGTGGTTAGTTGAGGAGTTCCTCGTTCAGAATTTTTGGGGAGTTTTCTAGTGTTTTGGGGCATCAGGCCTTCCCTAATCCCGAAGCAGGGGGAATCAAACCTGGATGCTAATTACTTGATCAGAAGGAGGTGTTCATGCGGAATGTGAAATGAGTAAAATGAGGTTTAACATAAAATATATTGATAAAATAAATTGATTGAAATAAACAGAGGTTGATGGGGTTTAAGATGTACATTTAGATTATTGTGTTAGTGAACTATTGGTTAATATGGGCTGACCAGATAAATGAAGATGCTGGCTGGTTGATGATGATGTTGAATTCTCCATTGAGAGACTGGCTTCTGTGTCATCTGAGTGAATATTGTCTAAGAATATCGAGCGAGGATGCTGACTCTTCTTAATGTTTACTATATGAAATGAAATGAAATGAAAAAATAATTTTACTCTGGGACTACTGTCCCCTAAGAATAATAACAGAGTTACAATTTATGTATCTTAGTCTGACATAATAAAAATACCAACTAATGTGTGTTTGCATCCATGCCACCTCTTCCTGCCACTTCTATGTATTGGTCTAGCTAGACATGTAATTGAACATGCTTGGTCATGGAGACCATTTTGTTTTCAGTCTCAGACTCAGACTGGCAATGGTGTTGTACTATGGCCTTGCTGGTCCCAGGTCACCAGGCAGGGCTAAACTTCTTCAGCTTGCCAGTAGATGGCACTGTCATAATGGCCAATAGATGGCGCCACTGATGTGCGCTATTTGTCTCATTTAAATTAAGGGCTACAGTGAATGGCCTTAACACCTAGCTTATTATCGGGCGTATTAATTGTGATATCTTGAATGAGTGTGTTTGTATGTCCGTGTAAGTATTTCTGAAATCTTTTGTAGTGTGTTCGCATGAGGTCGTTTGCCGATGGTATGTGAAGGTATTTACGTAAAGTAATGTTGCTGACGTACCATGGAGCTTTAGTTTCTGTCCTGGAATTTTTGAACTGAAATTATTGCAGTTTATAAATTTTGTAATTTGACCATCGTGTATATTTGTTAGCCCAAAATGAGCTTACAAGTGTACGTTCAATAAGCAAGTGTGCGTTCAATTTCTGTAAAAGTTTTAATTTTGGCTGTCTTGAAATAGAAAAAATAATAGTCACTGTATTAGGTTTGATGTTTTTCTCTTATTCTTGATATTTGGATTCCATGTCATTCTTCTGTCACATATCAGTACGAGATACTGAACTTTATGGGTCTAAGTATAGTCATATTTTGTGATTTGTCTTATTGTTAGTTGAGTTTTTACCAGTCATGGAGTTATATTCCAAGTATTGATAATGCGTCTTATTCAATTTATTGGTTTGCAAATGTAAAGAAAAAATTATTATTACTATTTCAAAAGAAAATTTTAAAATTGTTTTTGTCAAACTTTTAAATAAATTATCAGAAGTATAAAAATTAGTTTACCACTTCTTGCCATTAAAGTTGTATAGGGTTGATTATAAAATGACGTTTTGGTGTTATTATATCTATTATTCATGGTCTGATATGTCCCTTAGTGAAAACCTCTGTCATTAATAATTTCTTAGTTATGTACGTATGTGGATCACCTTCAAAAGTTTATGGTTATAATTGAGGAATAAAATTATGAGCAGTGACATTCCTTAGTCCCCTTCTCCTCGGGCCGTCATTCTCCCTCCCTGAAATTTTTTTTTTTTTTTCATATTATGTAATATCTGAGTTTTATTTCATTCATTATTTTTCTAACACAGTTTCTTTATTATTGGCTAAAATTAATTATTTTAATACATTATATATATATATTAAATTTTTAATAAGTGGGGTGGGCCCCTGAAGATTGGAGCTCCCACAGGGCAATTGCCACGGTTGTGCCATATTGCCTAGTACTGATTATAAGGTTGATTTATATATGAATTATAGGGAAACGATACAATTCAACTGATAAAATATTTTTATTTATACATCATCTGTTCAAATATTTTTTAAACCTAATTATAACGTATTTCCTCACTGTTTGTTAATTACATTTTCGTTTTTTTTTTCAGCAAACAGTCCCAGAACAATTGATACACCGAAGAGGATCTTCATTGTTTTCTTCTCGTTTCTTGTATATATTAGGTGATATGTTAATCACTAATACTGTTTCTGATTTACGATTGTATAAAAAAAATTAATTACAAAAAATGTGAACAAAAACAAATTAATATATATATAAATGTGTAAAAAGGGTAAGCTCATCTATCGTTGTAAGTAGAAATGGTTTGATGCATTTTATTTTTTAAAAAATAATAATTTTAAGCGTTGTATAAATTGGAATTTATGATTGTTTTTTACTATAATAAAATATTTTTTGTAATTAATCGTATATTGTTTAAACCCTGTTTAAGTTCACCATCTGGTTTATTTTTTATATATACTTTTTTTAAACATCTGATTTTTTTCATATACTCGTAGTATAAAGAATTATTGGAATGAAAATTCATTGTAAATAATTGATAGTTCGTAATTTTTGTTAATCGTCATACACTTATAGGTCATTCTACAATTCGTGTCAGTTTTCACAAAATACAAAACTTCATTTTTTTTTTTTACGACCATTTCGCATTGGTATCTCAGCATATTTTGTATTTTCAGGAGTAAGTTCAGCTCTTTGATTTTTGAAGAAATTGGGTTTTAAGTTTTATTTTTAACTTTTAATAATGTACTAAAAACTCGTAAATACCCATTTATTTGCTTTCCACTTGAATCGTAAGATAACTTGAGTACAAAGTTGGGAAAAAAGGTGGCCTTTAAAAACATAGAACCGTTTTTCGTCACCAACACCCCCCAATTGTCAAAATAACAAGGTTATATAAGTCAAGTTGCACAATCATTTGTAAACCATCTTTTTTATCGATTTTGTGATCAAATTATCTCACGATTGAAGCATAGAACAAATGATTATTTACGAGTTTTCAGTAACTAATGAAATAGACAAAGTTTGCCGACCTCCAGATTGAAAACGCCCCAATTACAAGAACTTCCTTAAATAAAATATTTGTAGGTTACTATGAGATGAAGCTATTTACGAAGTTTCAGCCGGATGTTATTAATTTGATAAAAAAGGGGTCTGTACCACGGACTATCTGTAAAATAACAAAAATAAAATTCTAAATACAAAATTAATTAACAACTGTTTCCAACTTTCTGAGTATAGTTAATTACTAACATGAAAAATAAATAAGTTTCTTCATCAATTGCCTATCGTCAATTTACTTAGATTGACTTTCAGAGGGTTTTATTATTTCTTAAATATTCTTATTTTATTTAGAACACCGAACGATTATTTATTTTATTTCCTCCCCCCTATTTTAAAAATTTAAATTAAAAAACATTATTGCTAAATTTGGCTAGGAAAATAATTAGAAAGCGAAAAGGCGAAATCCTTCTAAATTCACGAGTTAAATTACTATATATTGGTGCTAAATTTTCTCTAATTGATAAGTTAAATATATATTTCCCATTAATTATTTGTTCTTGAAAAATATTTATTTATATATAAATCAAATATCTTTTTTTTTTGTACTGAATACTAGTTAGTAAACCAAATTTTCAAGTTAAAAAATAAAACAAAAAATGTAGAGTTATAATTTAAAATTATTCCTGGACAATAAATAATTTTGACGTATTTATGGTGCAGTAATCCAAAATAAATATTCAATGTCAATGCAAAATATTGTTTACTAAACTAAGTTTTAAAAAGTAGGTTGACTAAAAGGTTAATCATATGAAAGACAAAGCACTCTTTAAAAAAAGCTTATTATTAAGAATAATCTTCCAGTTTTCATTAAAAATTATAAGATAAATACTTAATGCGTACAATATTTATTCGTGATGTACAAGTATAAATAGTATACTACATCAAGGAACATCAAGAAGTAACTCTAAACATTTAAAATAATATTTACAAATTATTGAGTAATGCCTTGTGGTAACTTAAAATTCCTTAAAATATATTTACATATTATCTTTATAATCTCTTCGTCTAAACTTAAAGTATAAAATGAAGTTGTAATTTTTTAAAATTAAAATTCGTTATAAATCTCTGATGGTATGATTCAGCCATAATTAAGGCACTTCGTAGCCTTAACAAAGTTACTCCGGATCAACTTCTTATTTTCTCTTCTACCAGCTTAATCGTCTTTGGGATAAAACTTGCCACTGCTGGTTGTAAAGGAGATAGTATTCGGATATCTGGAAGAAAAAACCGTTATTTAAATAAGAATATAAACATTATGATGAACGAAAAAATTTATTTCTATGATTCTGTACTATTAATCGATTTATATGAGTATAGAGATTTATGGTATATTTTCTAACATATATATATATATATATATATATATATATATATATATATATATATATATATATATATATATGAGCTGAGGATTAACAAGCTGTTTTCTTTGTTGATTTCGAAGCAGTATATGATCCCATTGACAGGAACTGCGTTTGAAAGATCATGAAAGAACTGAAAATTCCCAATTGAAAAGTTGATTATATTGGCAAAGCCGTATGCAGAGTAACCCAAAATGTCGAATCCTAATACAAGTAGAAGTATCTTAAGTCTTCAAAGGTATTAAAATCGCGAAAGCCAATTTTGATACACGGTTGCAATATCTGGACTAATTAGTACCCTAGAAAGAAATATTGATATTTTTGGGAAGGAAAATCCTTCACTCCATTACTGAAGAAAACTAGAATCAGAACTAGAATAACCCAAGGAAGAAAAAAAAAGTTGGTGATGATTCGTAAAACTAATTTTTACTTCTCGATTAGTTTAAAATAAAGCATTGCTCAATGCATTTGTTTATATGCTGATCTCAACTGGAATTTTAATTATTTCTTATATTCATATCGTTATTTGGGTACAACCCCTTACCTTCAAACTAACAATGCAAGTTTAAAAATTCAAAAAAATAGATTAAAAAATAACACGATTAATAATTCGAATTTTGAAATTATTCTCCATCAGGTAAAGTGCGCAGCACTCCAACAGTAGCTGTGGTATAACACACGAAGTATGATTTCAGGATTTTTTTTCTAACTACAACTTATGCTACCTTTGCCAAAAAAAGCTGTCTTTGTTCAGGATCGTATCGTCCTTAAAGATATATTATTATTATTTGTTTGCAATAAAAAGATATCCTTTATTTCTCTTATTTTCCCAATTACTTCTCTTTTGTAACAGTGAAAATAAAAAATAAAAATAAATAAATAAAAAGGGAAAAACAAATATTTAAAAAAAATAAAAATGAATTGTATACTATGCTCATATACATTTTTTTAATACCATATAATTGTATATTAGTTTTAAAAAATTGTCTGTTGTGATTAATAAGTATACTGTGTTTGAAGCAACCCAATCTAATTGGGCAGCGTCCTTTTATGAAAATAAAGTGATTCTCTCTCTGGGGCCATTCATTCAGTGGCATTTGTTATTAAAGATTTTTTTTTTTTTTTTGTTAGATTGAAATTATATTAAATATAAACTTATTTTAATTCATTTATCTTACGATATAGCATATATAGTAATACAATATCACATAAAATCCAATTAGCTTTAGATGATATGATAATAAAAAATATTATCTTGTATATTAAAAGCAGAACATGATATCTTAAATACAATGCAAGACTTAATATATTATTCGAACAACATGCAGTCAAACAACACATATTACCTGCCGCTATCACATTCAGTGTACATATGTCTTCATTATGGGACTCGTGTCCGTATCCTCCTCTTCGTCAAAAGAATCAAAAGATGGATCTTCCAAATGAAGCTCATTGACGTGGCTAGAGTTCACAACAAATTTGTGCAAAACATAAACAGACACAAGTGCAACTTGAAGTAAGCAACTTATTTGACATGGAACACAAAAACATATAACATCATGATGACATGTAAATTATAAAAGGAATCTCTCGCTAAAAAGGTTTAAAAGTTAATTACTATTAATTAAATTATATAAGTTGTTTATCTCAAAATTAAAATCTAATCTAATTCAATAGGGATAATTGGAGGTCAATGTTAAACCAGGCCAGGACTCAATTTAATAGATTGTGGAGCAGATAGATGAAGAAGCAAATAAAGCGAATGGATCGTGATTCTAATTTTTTTAATTTTTCAATTATTTTCGAAATAATTTATTTATTGGATTCAAATAATCTGTCATTAAGGTTTACAGAAGGTGAAAGGAATTATAAACATTAACATGTTTATCACCCATCATAAATATTAAAATATTAAAGAGGTCGATTAGTTTTTATTTTTGCGATATATATTTATGTATGAATCAGTCTGAACTAAATCTTAATTGCCTGTTTGCTTAAATCTGTTTAGATGTTCACAAATGTATCCTAACATAATTGACAAATTTTCAGGAAATGCGAAAAACTGTATTTTTTATTCCACTTTTTATATCAAAACCAATATTTAATAAATATATAAAAATATAAATCAAGAAATTCTTCATTTGTAACACATATTTCAGAACACTAATTATTTCAATAGTAATTTTTTAAAAAGTGAGTAGCAGAGCTCCGTCATTAATGTTCTATTTTCCACTCATTTTTAATTTTTAAAAAATAGAAAGGTATTACATTATTTCATTGGCGTTAAATACAGAAATAAAAGCTTTAAAACATTAAAAAAACCTTAAAAGAAGAAATTTATGCTTTGCAAATAATTACTCAATGGTTTATTATATTCAAATAGTTATAAGTTCAATATGTATGGCGAACGTCTTGAACTAGCACAATGAAAAATATTTATATACAATGATTAGGAGGTTTAAAAATACGCTATAATATAATTATGAAAATTGTCGTACCAGAATTATGACTCTTATAGAACTGGGAGATATAAATTTAAAAAAAAACGATGCAGAGCCTAAACCGGTTAACCGAATTTAATGAAAGATGGCCTAAGTCTGTAATTATTACGTCTATAATAAACTTCACCCAAAAGAAGCCGGAAAAAATAATTACGATATTAACATTGGGTATCCGAAAAACACAAAAAGTACTATTTTTTTTTTGTTGAATAGTGATTTGTAAGAATATTAAATTACCTACAATACAAAAAAAAAAAATTACAATCGGACGATTTGGTAAAAAGATACGCTATTCCGAATATATACCAAAAGTTCTAAAGCTGACTATTGTTTTGACTTAAAGAAATTATATGACGGACCTTTTTAATTACTGGACGGTTTTCGATGAAAGTTTTTTATCGTTTAGGACATTTAAATGTCTTTAATATATTTTAGTTATTCTCAAATAAAGTTTTGTATTCGACAATTTTTCTTGTCCTTAAAAAGGCTTTTAAGAAGACAATTTTTCTTGTCCATTTTGACGAAAAAGATGCTGTAATTTCCCAGGCATATCCAAATCTTAAATATGATATTTCAGTTTCGTACGACTTTTTGTTATTGAGCTAGATTTTTCACACACAAAAACAGACTTTTTTGGAGTCTTAGTTATTTTGACTCAGGAGAACCCAAAACGTGAATTTCCGTTGAAAACTCGAATCCGAAATTTTTTCAGGGAATGGATGTATAAAAATTAAACTTTTTGTTTACAATAATGGTAGAATAAAATTAATTTTTTTTAATATTCATTTGAATAAAGCGACTAAATAAAATTTTGATAAATTATTTTTTTCTTAAATAATACTAAAGAATGTTTCATTACGTGTCTTCACAATTCTTTTAATATTTACGTTCGTTTTTTAAAGAAAAAAAAATACCCCGGATTCATCGTTTTTTTCTTTACATGGAAATTGATACTAATCTTGATTTCCAAAAAAATTATTCCTTTGGAAATAAGCAACTCCATATGTATTGATGACGTAGAATAAATTTCAACAAATCCATTATATGTTCTAAAATCCAAACAAACCATATACCAAAAAGCTATAATTAGTAAAAAAAGAATTCCAATTTTATATTATTAAAAAAAATAGATTAATTTTATCCAGTTGAAGTATTTTTAATGTTATTAATTATTATTGACTTTTTTTTTTATTTAGTTCATTCAAGAGAAAGAAATTAAAATTCTTGTAAGGAGTTTTATTTTTAATTTTTTTATAATAGTAGCGCTTAAAACCTCTATATTTTATTCTTGCGAGAGCTCATATATAAATTTCAATACAAAACTTATTATATCAACGTCAATACTTTAATAAAATTTAAAACTGACTGAAATATGCGGATAAATATTTGATAGAGACTTACATAAGCTAAAAAGAAACAGAAATCATTAACTATAAAATTAATTCATAGATAACCTCTTATTATAGCCTAAGTAACGAAGGTGAAAAAAAATATGATAAATAGTTTTGTGTTATTTATGTTATTTATTTATGATATTTTTCGTAAGCCTAGTACCATGAATTTATTTATTGAATATAATGCTTAATTTCATTGAGATTGAAAAATATATTTTATAAATAAATTATATTTAATACAATTTGAAGAAATTAAATTCAGCATACCAACACCGTACCTTCACCAAACAAAAAAAGAAAACAAAACGAATTTCAGCAATATGAATTTCCCAGTCATTAAGGGATTTCAAATCATTTACAAAACAAAAATATGCATATTCATATTGCATGTACATTCAAAACATAATATTTTACCTGGAACTGTGTGCAGCTTCAATTTTTTGGTCATGATACTCAGTTATCGACTGTCCCAAGATATACTTTCTCATGATCTAAAACAAAAATAGCATTAATTGTAAATATAATTAACCCAAGTAACTATAGCATCTACTGGATAAAACAAAATCATATAGTTAGTGAATTAGTTGATGTATAAAAAATACTGACATATGACATCGAAAATATGACTCATTATATTTAATATGTAGAAATATACTCGTACGTATTGTGCATTGCAGTTCGGTAGGTCTCTCACGGTCCTCTGCCGTTTTGATACATTGAATTCCGAATTTGATAATTAATTTATAATAATTTATGAGGAGTTGATCGAAATACTATTTTTAAAATTTAGTATTTATTTGACAGCACCAGCCCGATCAACTCCTCATATCATATCACGGTCAACCATCTCTATATCATTATAATGATTTATTATTAATTTTATTAAATGCATAAAAAATAACGTATATTTATATTTCCAAAAAAGAAATGATAAATATGCTCCGGTATGCATATTCGTTCCTCAAACACCACTCTAACGTTCTATGAAAAAGGAATAATTTTCTAAAAGTAAATAAAAGGGACTCCTTTCAGCCAATTTTATTGCAAAGACGCTTCTTTTAAACAACGCAAATTGAAACAGTACCGTAACCTGCTTTACTTGCTCGATGCTCAATCGATACTTTAACGCGATTTATCACCAATGTTGAAGAGAAGAAGAACCATCGTATTTGTTCTGCAATCTGGTTCGCTGAAAGTAGTCCTTTCATTGAGTTTTATAAAAATATTCCTTTTTGACGGAACGTCCATGTAGAGTCAGAGGAATGACTTTTCCTGCCACCTTTTGAATTAAGCAACCCTATATAGTAACTATACAGTACTTTAAATATATAACTATGTGGCACTAGTAACATTATAACTATATAGTACTTTAAATAATGTATTCCTTCACTTTTCAAAGCCAAAACGCGGGATGGAAATTCAATAATTCGATTTATTTTGAAACTCTATTCATTCTCCTCAGGTAAGTTTGACAAAACAATCAAATAACTTTTCATACAAAATTTTTTTTTATATTTATACAAAAATTTCATATTTCATACGAAAATAAAATATTATACAATGCTAAACCTTCCAATTATCTAATTGGAACTATTCATTCAAAATATTATCTTCACTACAATATACAGTGATAAGCGGTATAATCAAAGATATTTTTAAACCAATGAGTAAGTATATTTATTAATATAATAATCTCATTGTTATTTTAAACCAACCATTATATTACTTTCCTAAAGTCCATAATACATCTAAAAATTCTCAGTGATTCATAAATTGGTGTATTTAACTGTCCATCAATTACTTCTAAAAATATGGTTAGGGTAACCTTTAATATGGTTTATTTTAATAATTAACTATCTCTCGTTATTAAGAGTTAAGAAAAAATGCTAAATATAACTTTTAAAATAATTTGATAATTGAATAAAGGAGAAACAAATAAAAATCCTTCTCCAGTTAGAAAATGAAACTGCGGAATTAATAGTCAAAAGGTATACGTATAATATATCGGAAAGCGGATAGTTTTATTTTTAAAAAAACAATATCTAATATAGAAAGTCGTAGAAGCTAATGCAGAGGGACGAAAAATTATAAATAATAATTTATGGAGAATAATATTATTTAACGTTAATCATATGTTTTCAAAGAAATCAAAAGAAATTTACTGACTAAATGCAAACTTTTTTAGGATTGAAAAAAGTATTTAGAATCCACCAAATCAAGGCAATGACATTGTTAAAAAAACTATTTCATAGTACTTAGGTGAAAGGAGAAGTGAAATATAAAAATATTTCATGGATGTATAAAGCATATGTTTATAACCTTAAATAAATTTACTGCAGTTTAATAACCCTAGATATGATATTTTATTTAAATAATTAGGTATCAACGTCCGTTTATTCCGAAAAATTTACATGTAACCTTTTAAAAGTTTAAATTAGTGAATAATTTGATGAATTTCCTCTTTTTGAAATCCAAACATTATCCGCTTAAAATTAGTGTAACACTGTAAAAACTTTTGAACTGGTAACGGCAGGCAATGAAATAATTTATTTGTAGTAAATTTTACAATGGAAAATAACAGTTTAGTAACTAATAGGCATCATAATCATTCATAGGTAGAATATAGAAATATACTTTAAAATCACTCTAGGCATATATATATATATATATATATATGTAGCTATATATATATATATATATATATATATATATATATATATATATATATATATATATATAGCTCAGAGAATGGGGTTATGTGGTTTACAAAAACAGATGGAGTACCAAAGTTTTAATTGCCTACCGTTGATATAATTAATACGTCTCTTAGCACATATGAGCCTTTTGATTGACAGAATGACTAACTCCAATTTCTTTATTATTAATTTTGGTGATGTTTCTAGTGGCAAAATTTATACCTTTATTCATAGTTTTTGTTTCAACACTGCAATCACCTACTCTGGAATTTACTTAATCACTGTCTGTATAATAGATATAACTTTTCGAACTAGAAATATCACTAAAATTACTTTACTCAAAAATTTTGAAATTGGAATTAGTCATTCTGTCAACTGAAAAGCTCAGAGAATGAAGTTATGTGGTTTACAAAAGAAGATGGAGTAACTAGATATTATTGCCTACTGTCGATATTATATATATTTTATTTTTGTTATTTTAATGTTGGTAATGATTTGTTAGCTGTAAACTTTAAGCTATAGCTCCGTTAAAAGTGCACTTTAAAAATTTTGTAGTTGCTCAACATTGCCAGAAAATAATTTCTATTCAAACTATTGAAGGTTGTGTTTTGCGCACACCAGATTTTTGAAATAAATTTCCAATGATGGCCACGATTTCATGAGTGTTATCAAGCCAGAAACGTTGTTTGATACAAATCTGTTTTCAAAACTTGTTTCATACATTTTTTATTTTCCATATTTTTTTTTCTAAAATAATAATATATTTCCACTCCTTATATTTATCACACGTTCTCTCGATTGTAGCGAAGGTATTGTTAAATAGCAACAGTGACAGACTACTCCCACAACGGGGAGGCGACGAACGCTAACGAGCATAAGAACTGTTGTTGCTGACAGATGGAAATCTTCTAAGGAACCTGCGAAATAACGACAAAGCCCACGTCCCCTGGATGCCATGTCGAAGGTTGTCAATTACCTAACTTCTCAACAGAGCTATCTCAGTCCACAATTTCCACGCTTGCGAACATATCTTTTTTTTCTGCAGGCTAGCGAAAATTATCAAAATAGTTTTCTAAATAAATTTATTTATGCAATTGTTTAAAAAATACAATAAGTAAACGTGTTATAAGATTAAATATGACTAGTGAGGAATCATTCCAATGGTGATTTTATAAAAGAAGCAATTTTCTTTTGAGACGCTTTAGATGATAATTGAAGTTAGAAACTATTGCTTAAAATTCTCCAATTTTAAGACAATATTCTGTTTTTAATATGTGACAACACAACGTGGTGAATAATTCAAAATTATTTTAAGTACGGAGTTATCGAAACTATAAAAATATCTTTTTTCTTCTACTATACCTAGTCCTTCAGTCCTATTTTTCTAACCCTTACTTTAGGGTCAGTTAAGGAACAGAATTTTCCAATTCCTGCCAAGTTGAGCACGTTGTTTTACAAAATAGTGTCACGATTCTCGTTCTCTACATTTTATTTACGACTGATATTCCTATTCATTCCGAAACCTTCCTGGAGAAATTTGTTGATGATAATGCCATCTTATCATCCCATCAGGATCCCTAAAACGGTCTCCTTTAACTTACAAAGGAACTTCCCGCTGATTGAGCAGTGATGCAACAATTCGCGCATCAAACTAAACGAATCCAAATTCAATTCCATCCCTCAACGCAGATACGTGCCCACCGATCCTTTTTAATTCTAATCCAAGCCCCATTCCAAACTTGGTTTATTTTTAAACAAAACAGTTCTTTCTTCCCTATTTTTCTTTCCTACCATGGCCTCTTCAGAAATACGGGGGTCAAGCGGGAGATTCAAGCCGGAGTTAAAATCCACTTGTACTGAGATCTGAACTTGTAATCTTCAGTTAATCAGGTTATCTAGCAAAGCGTGTTTTTCATACGTGTCAACCTGCTCGACATCTTTTAGCAAAGCTGACATAAAACCCACAAACTAAACTTAAAAGGCAAGGTCTCAACTTACGATTTGGCCATTTATATGGGCTACTGAACCGAACATCCTATCCTTCAATTGGCAACGAATACTTAATCTACCAGACCATACTTAAACCCGTCCATACCTGCGGCATGAACTGATAGGAATAGCATAACACCAAATTCCAATTCTTCCAGTTTCTAACCCTACGAACAATGATCAATGCTCAATATCACCTAAAAAACAAAACTTTACACCATGATCTCAACATCCCACCGACGTTATTTCATCCAAATTCTCAACCCTTCCTCAAAACATTAGCCATCTCTCTAATCCTTTAAACCACAGGCGGATCTACGAGGAGACATATCTACGGGAATAACCATGTTTTATCGAAGAAAGAATAAAAAACCTATCTCTTAAAGTATTATCGTTCATGTAATTACATTTAATAGAACTTGAAGAATCACTTAAACGCCATTTTATATAGGTAGTTAGTATCTTTATTTTTTTCCAAAGTAATTATGGTTATATACATGAAAATAAAAAGCTTTCGGACTGAAGCCGACCCTCCAAATTAAATCATGGCTCCGCTAATGCTTTAGCACAATGCCTATCTAGCTTCACGCATCCCTAAAAACCTTTCGGAAGGTTAAAATGTCAGTTAATCGGATACCCAAAACCTTTTGTGAATATGCTATTGGAGTTCTGGTAGTGGCTAGTTCTCCACTCAAGTCCTCAGCGCTCTGCAGTCTCCACTGGCTTTTACTGCCAGTGACGCGGTCGAGAGGAACTGCCTGAGACGATACGCAGGAACCTCCTGGAGTTGTACTTTACCTTCCAGA